AGGAGACAATTAACAACTGGTATTCCTCGCATGCGGACCATTTGATAGCTTGTATCCTAATGACGTCACGTGACGGGACTGCTGGCGTCACAAATTGTGCCGAAAAGAATGTAAACTCCAGTATATAAAACTAACGCGCTCGTTGTTTGTTTGTTTTTTTGCATTATCGCAGGTCGTTTAGGGGCCCCTTTAAAACAGTCATCGCGTGTGTATGAATAAACGATATTTTGTATTGACCGAGCTGTGACGGCCGGGCAACTCTGCCATTCAAGGCAGCTAGTGTCGATAGCCCTGTTCGCCAAGGGTAGATTCTATACTAAGCTCAACAATTTGTAAGATGGGCCTACCACTTATCTTCTATTGGTGCTCCCGTGGATTAGCGTTGGTCTCACTGGGTTCTTATTGCGTTCCCGTGCGATACGGCACGAGGTGTTTTGGACAAAATTACGAAGGAAGCTGACCACACTATACGTCGCTCCAATATGGTGACTTCTTACACTCAAGACAAGCTTGCATTGCTGTGCTTGGTATATGGCCGCGTGTCAAAAAGTTTCTTAGCACCGACAACCGTTGATATACGCCCAGACGCTCTCAGTGAGCCACGACACTGACTGGCCATTCTGTCGTGAATGGTTTGCGCCATATAGAAATGAGCTAGTTTTGAAGTACCATATTATTTAGCTCGTACAGTGACGTCATAATAACGTATAGACTTCCACTCGTGCATTGGTGTGAAATACACGAGTGAAGTTTAGTCGTGGTTTCCGGGCCAACTCCCCACTCGCGAAATTAGAGGTTCTTAGCAAACTACGGAAACACCCTACGGAAATACGACTCGGTTGCTTTCCGTATGCGCGTACCCTGTTCGCGCATGCGCACTCGTCAGCCAGTTCCGCGTTGCCGCTTTTCCGTAACGTGTTTCCGTAGCTTGCTGAAAACCTCTAATAACTACAGTCCAGTTTTGCACAAGTACGGCTTGTGGGACTAAACTTATTTGATCTTGATCTGCTCAGTGCGCCTGTTGAGCGGATGTGAGGAAATGAAAGTTCATTACGTGGAGAGAAGTCAATAAACGCAGACCGTGCCTACGAAGGCGAAAGGCACTGGGTGTGCACGTGGCTGCAGACATGCAAACAATTTGCGAGTTTCGATTCAAACACCGTCGTTTCTATATACCACTATTTCTTCGTTCGCAAAAAAATTCTGCGGCACATTTATATAGATGGAAAGAGAGGAAGAAGGAGTTTTGCAGATGACTGTAACCCCCGAGAGATTTACTGTCATTACTGAAGGAACATTATATATATATATATATATATATATATATATATATATATATATATATATATATATATATATATATATATATATATATATATATATATATATATATATATATATATATATATATATATATATATATGTATATATATACGGCAATGCGATTGTTAAACAAGTGATTCTGTTGTTGTTATTTTTTTCAACCACTTTTCTGTCTTGTTCTATTCGCGATGCCTTTTGTCAAACATAGAACAAGGAAGCCTGCCAAATATCAATTTATAATTTGAAATTGAGCAGCACGTAGTTTCAATGGACAAGCTAGAAAATAGATGCCACGCAGACTCAAACTGTTCTGCAACATAATATTTAACACTAATGAACTTGGATCATTCGTACACGAAGTAGGATATAAATGCAGGTATACGCTTGTTGCCAACTGATTATACAACGGGGAAAAGTTAGACAAACGCATCATCTGACGCAAGGAGCTCGATATTCGACCACGTTACGAGATCATAGTTGCTGCAGTGTCCACAGATGAAATTTCCATTAAGACTTCGTAAAAGCGCCTCCGCAGGGTTAATTAACAAACGTAGTCAGAGGGATTGCGGCGTGCTTGAAGTGGTTTGAGGAGGCGACTGTCTAATGAAACCCCTGCATGCGCATTTGTTACGCAGCGTTTAAGGCCAGGGGTGTATGCGTATACCTTTTTTCGATTCATATAACACGAATGAAAAGGCTCGCATGTGAAAGTTGATAGATACTAGCGCTGGTCGTCGACTTCCGTTCGCTATTACGTACGTACGCGCATTCTACTTTACGTACGCGTCACATAACCCGCCATTCACATCCACCGTTGGTGCTTTGTAAGCAACAACAATAAAAACAATTCTTCGACGCACATGTGCACGGCTAGGATCAAAATGGCTGTGCTACGGGTCCAGGTTCATCTGCCGTGATGCAACTGGTTCGAAACACCTGTGACGAACTGGCAGTGCACGGAGCAATTCAATGGGTTGACGTTAAGCCCTGCTTCCATACCTCGTCGCGACTTGAAAAAAAAAAAAAGTAGTGCCCGTGAGCACCGTGTCGAGCGGAACTTTTTAATGAGACGGCGTCGTCTGGGTCTCTCGGTCGCTCGCGTCGGTGTAGTACCTGTACAAAAGGTGCGCCTCTTGCCAAGAACCGCGGCGAAAAGCACGTGACTTCAAACTGAGCACCTCCGAAGTACAGAGGGCCTCACTTTTATTGACAGCCCCGCAGTCGGCGTCGTAGGTCACTGTCGACGGCGACACACGTCGGCTGCCCGAGAGAAAGGAAGAAAGCAGCGGTGTTGTTCGAACAGTGCGCCTTTGTGACGCCCCGGGACGAACTCCGTGGCACCCTACGCCGCCTTTTTCGTGTATCGTCGCCAGTGAACGCCGTCACGGTTGTGTTCTGAAGAAGCGAAGTCCTTGTGTGTTGCACGGCAGCGAGCCGTTGAGACTGTATACCATGCTTCGAGGCATACCCCAGTACTACTTCCTGAAGTCCGGCACCAAGGATGGAGACGAGGCCGACCACGAGCCAATGCTGGAGGTAACCAGTGGCGTCCATGTCCGTGAGCAGGTCATCATGTCTGTTGGAACCTCCTTGTGGGATAAGGATAGAGAATTGGGTGTGTTGGGGTGCGTTCATTGTTCAGAGCGCGAAAAAAAGAAAAAAAAAGAAAAATGCACACGGACAAAGGAGACCGGCGCTCGTGTCGTCTGGACCCATCTTTGTTCGCGTGCTTTGAGGCTGTACATTAATACCTGTTGGGACATGGCGCTCGGCGCGCCGTTTAGTGCAACCCACTTATCTCGGATGGAGGGCGGCAGCAGGCATGGATGTAGGGCTTTGCGCGAGGGTATTTCGCGTTGGCCCGCTAAAATGTATTTTATTTATTTATTTAAATCACATCAGAAGCACTTACATCAAGGTATTGTGTGAGGGGGGTTACATAAGTAGGGTAACAATAACTGGAGCATGGGATCAACTTCGTACTATGCTTGTTGACGTAGTAGAGAACACAAAAACAAGAAATAAAAAGGAAGGAAAAAACCAATAAACATCCTTATACAATAGGTGAATAACATTTTATTTGAAAATATTCTCATTATTCGGCCCTAAATTTGGTTGTGCGGGAACGTGAGCTTACTAGTTCATGTGCCACGGAATACAAATGTTTGAGTATTTCCTTAGCGTTAGTACGAAATCGGATGCATATGCAATGTAACTGATATTGGTCGACAAAAGTTTCTTCATTCTTTATTTTCAAAACGTATCAAGGCTTACGTCGAAGTGAACATGCCTTTCAGGCAACATGCTAGCGTGCTTTCCAGGGAGAACAAACACGCATTGCAACGTTTCACGTGAACATCAGTAAGCAGTGATCTGTGACAGCTGGTCTCCGAAAGAAAGAAAAATGCTGCAGCTTGCACGAGCTGTGTGTTGCGCTCACTCTTGGATGGCGTGGTATGGCACGGAGATGAGCAATTGGGTCAAACGAAATAATCAACTGCGATTGTTCTTGCCAGAACTTAATCATACCTTGGTTTTGGGACGTGAAACACCAAATATTAAATTATTTGCTTTCATCACATAAACTAAGATTGTACGGTGGTTGACAAAGACTATTTCGACCTGCCGGAAGAGCTGCGAATGATTTCACGCGTGTGCTTGAACCACGTGGCTTATGAACCTGGCGCATGCTTGACTGAGTTCACACACTACTTAATGAGAGCAGCCTAAATAGTTAACATAACCTGAATGAGTGCAACAAAGCGAAATCGAATTCGCGATCTTAGTGACTCAGTGGTTGAACACCATAGTCATTGATCCATTGTTATACGAGTACTTCTTATTCTATTCCTGCTGTTCATTAAAAGCAAGGTTCGTTTTGTTATGGTTAGAATGTGTCACGTACCTTTTTCTGCACCTTGCCATCGATGCAAACGTGACCAGACTTCTCGCATTCCTTATACGCCACGGTTGAGTAATATGGGATACAACTGCGCCGCTGTTTCTCTTCAGTTTGATTGCTTTTATTAATGACTGGCTACTTAACATACAATGCCTATTTTAAAGGGAGAGAGCAACCGAGATATAATGATTATACAATGACTACTTCTGGAGGAGTCACGTGCTTGAACACTCGTCGAAACATTTAATTAGACGGTACCGAGGACCATGTACACATGACGCATCGTTTAAACCTCCGCTGCACTGTGGGTCGAATAACTTTCGCACAACGAATGTACCATAGCTTGAATGTCCGCACAAGAATGCCAATCGAGGTCAGGTGCTGTGATAATTATTTGTACCGGCCGCTTCCCTTTGCTACCTCACCTCATAATTTTCACACTTGCGCAAGACACTCTGGTGTACCTAGCTCAAGCTTTAGGATCAGCCCTTTATGAAAGGAAGGATCTTGAGAGCGTGTCTCAAAGCTAATTAGATAGTCATACAAACCCTCCTACAATATTGGAATGCCTCATGCATGTAAATTAATCTAAGCTCATGCTATCTCTCTCTTACTACCTCGTTCCCGTCTCCACGTGGGGGTATAACAAAATGGACGACGTCTAGTTAATCCATTATGTAATTTTTTTCGTTCTCACTTCCCTTTCTGTGTATCGCTCGCCGTTGTATATCAGCCGACACTGTCACTGACGGTTTGTCTCTCCTCTTTCGTGCAGCAAGCCAACGGAAACCACCACCACCACACCGTGGCGCTGCCGCCACCCCCGCCGGACATCCCCGAGGTGATCATCACCACCACGCGCGATGTGGACGAGAACAAGGAGCGCGGCAACTGGTCCTCGGGCGTCGAGTTCTTGCTCTCGTGCCTCAGTTACGCCGTCGGTCTCGGAAACATATGGCGGTTTCCGTACCTCTGCTACCGCAACGGAGGAGGTGAGAGAGAGTGAATCAGTGCTTGCGCTATACCTCGTTTCAATGACGGTTTTTGATTATGGCCCTCTGATCTGTCTAATGTACCCACTGAGCCAAGAATCGGGCACATAGACTTTAAGGTACACCCACTGCAGGGTAAAGACCTCTCCCATGCATGTTCTGCCAATCAGCCCGGTCTGTTGCCAGGTTATACCTGCAAACCTCTTAATCTCGTCCACCCACCGAATTTTCTCTTTCCCTCTCACGCATTAGCTTTCTCTTGGATTACAGCCAGTTCGCTTTAATGACCGGTGGTTATTCTTCCTACATGCTACGTGCCCTACCCATGTCAAATGCGTCTTCTTAACTTAAACTATGATATTCTTAACACCACTTTGTTCCCTGACCCACTCTGATCTCATTGTCTTTTAAGGTTACTCCTAAATAAACTATATAAAAAAAATGGGAGCATTTTGCAGATAGCCAGCTTAGCAAGAAGAATTCAGTAGCATGCTGCTAGAATTCCAAGAAACTTTTTCTTCTTTTTTTATTGCTTGAGCTGCCGTTCATTTCTGTAGAGACCCACATAAACAAAACAAAAAATCAGTTTGTAAGCCACAGAAAAATGCGGTAAAGCCTTAAGACCTCAACTCTCTTCAGTTTTAGCAACGCATGTCCTCAAATAATCCTGCTACAGCTAAGACAATATCCTTCTACTTTTTTTTTTAGAATTTGCTTATAATAACACTGCCTGCCGCAAGTTTCTATGGTGCAAACATATAAGTGAATCATTTGTTTTCTGAGAATCTTCACGTTCCTCCCCATCGCCCATCCTCAATAGCGTTCAGAAGTTTAACGCACATGCAAACGGCACTATCCGCAGTACACAGTTACGTTTGATCGCATATGTGACCTATCTTCACGTAGGAATTGTGACAAAAAAGGTACACAAACTGGAAATATCGCGCAAGGTATTGCAGGTCGGTCGTTTCACTTCTCGTTATCACTCATGTCGTATGCATGGATCCTTGGGAGTAAGATCCAGGGGTTTGCTTCAGCATAGCTTTTGTGGAGATTCAAGGTTTCCGTTTGCCAAAGGCTATATTTTCCTCGCTATTTGCATGAAAATAATTTCCTTTCGTGCTCAAGTTATTGCTGATGCTGACAAACAAACGTTTGTTTTTTAGTTTTTTCTTCCTCTACATGGGTTAAATATATCTGCAGATTTATTCTGTCACAATGAAGCATTGTTACTCGACTATTGTTTCCATTAAGCTCACTTACGGTCGATGCACTTTTCTGAATAGATGCCAACAGCAATTTAAGAAACCTGCTTATGTATTTACTATATGTTTCCTTTTATCCCATATAATGCCGTTGATAGTACCATACAGGAACTTTTAGGGGCGAAGCCCCTTGAGACGTCACAGTGCTCGCAAACCACCGTCCGCGGCGTCTGCAGCAGATGTAGTATACATGTGCGTGTGAACAAATCGAAACATCTGTGAACACCAAAAAAGTTATAAAAAGGTCGTTAACTAGAACGAACGAAATGAAATGCCGCAACGTCGTAAAACATCGACATTTAACCACCCATGCACCTATAAAAGCATATGACAGAACAAAAGGTTAACAAGAACAAAAAAATAAGATGCGGTTAACCAGAACAAACTAGAAGGCTGCGATTCATGACCCAATGCACACTGATTCGCCCCGTTATGAGCATTTATTTCGTATGTGAAACAAGACTACTACCTATAGCTTTGTCCCACCGTTAGCATGCACTCAACTGCGTGCACAAATATAAACCTTTTTTTTTTGCTTTTTTTTTCGCGCAGGTGCCTTTCTGATCCCGTACAGCGTCATGCTGTTGTTCGTGGGGCTGCCTCTCTTCCTTATGGAGCTGTCGTTCGGCCAGTATGCCAGTGAAGGACCGATTACTATATGGAAGATATCACCGTTATTTCAAGGTATACTACATCACTCCTAATCCACTCATCATTGTTCAAAATGACGCTTGTGAAAGAAACGTCGCATAATACCGTTCTCGAAGCATCGTTGAGCCTTGTAAATAGCGAGAGGCAACACTATTTTCACACCTTACGTTCATGGTCACGCAATAAGTCGTCATTTTTCATGCCACATAAAGAGCTTTTGCCGGAATCGAGCTTGGTAATCAAACGCCTTGCAGTATACTGTTAACTATGCGCGTGCTCACGCGCGTGCAGTGCATTCGCACCACTTTTCTGGACACTGTCGAAGTGCACCATATTGTCAAGTTTTGCAATGGCGGCATTTCTAAAGGCACCGTATCAACTCTCGAGGCTAGTGTTGACCAACAACGGCGGAATTCGACGAGATTGCGGATTGTGAAAATTTACAAAATAGCACTCTCGGCCTCTGCTTTCACAATCAGAAACAATGTCGATAGAAAGATTCACGGCTAAAGTATACTGCTTTTGTTCGTCGCCGCCGTCATAAACCAGAAAATAAACGAACGGGATTGGATGATGGTTGTATGCGTAAGTTGTCCACATTGGACAGTACTTCGGTTATGACTGTCGACATGAGTAGTTATATACTAAGGTTATCACCTTACTATTACACGTGATTCTTTCGCTGTACTGCATATTTTTCAAATAATGAGAAACTTGCGTGCATGCGCAGTGCGATTTCTTTACGAATCGTATGGAGCATACAGTACTATTGTAAAGTGCCAATGGTTCTGAGGTCGGAATGGTGTAGTGGACTTCTCACCATGAATTAATTAGAAAGTAAGTGACGCAGACACTTACCAAGACGCCGCTATTTGTTGTCAATGAGATTGTTGATATGGCGATTCCTGTTGATGTTCAGTTTTTCTCTCTTTTTTTTTCATTGCTAGCTGTCGGAACAAAACCTAACGCTTGCTTGAACACCTTTGCATCCCTTTTCCTACAGGAATTGGATACGCTATGTTCCTCATGACTGGCTTGGTAGGAGTGTATTACAACATGATTCTGGCCTGGTCATTATTCTACTTGGGTTCATCTTTAACCACGACACTGCCGTGGAGCTCCTGCAGCAACTGGTGGAACACAGATGGTAAGCTTTGCAGAATGGCATCTGAACGAGTTTTTTTCTTATTTGTAGCACTCTAAACAGCACTTATCAAGCTACAAAAATACATGAGGCGTGGCATCATCGAAATTGTTAATATAACGTAGGTGAAATCAATGGGCTCATACATTTAAGTAACTGTTGCACATATATTCGTTCATTGCAGTCACTCGCCGTCGGAGCCACCTTTCTTCGTTTTAGTGTTCACTTTCTAAAGTACCCTCGGAAAAGCATAGCCAGCCATAATGTGAACTTTTTTTAAATGCGAACCATTTCTTAGCGAGCTTCGGCGACTTTGTTTGAGCGTATCTATCTATCTATCCGCTTACGTTTGGGTGCTCTCGTGGTCACCCCCTTAGTTTGGCGTGAACAAAAATTACTATGGGAGGGTAAGGTGGTTTGACGAATATGACGCGCTGGTCAAAACATGAATAATGTCTCAATCTTGTTGCGTACGTCATCAAACACTTCTCGCCAGACAGTGGCACATACCCACGGGCTGGGATGTACTGCTGGTATGTGCCACAGATGATTGGCACTTCTATCCAGGAACGACGAGAACACACATGGTCAATTTTAACGCGTGAGCGTTAAGAAATGCCCGACATTGGTAGCGTCGGCCCGACGAATGCAAGGAATAAATGTCAGTGTCCCAGCTGGAATCGAACCCAAGCATTCTGCGTGACAATGAAGCATTTTACCACAGAGCTACGCCAGGTCTCGGAACTGCTTTTCAAATAGACGCTAATTTTTATGAAACGTCAATAGTGGTTGCAGTGCTGCCTACCAAACTTTATAAACATTACACATGTACACTTTTGATACAGCTGTCATGTCGAGTTAACGCAAGTTGTGGTTAGTTGCCATGCGCTGAAGTTGATTTATGTAGCAGTGTCCAGAGCCAGCATCCTCGCGAGCATGAGCGCTTCATATCTGCTTCTGGTGTTGCTAATACGCATTCCCCAGTTGGCATCGTTGCGCAAATACAAACAACTGGTTATATAAACATCTGCAGCTCTTCACATGTCGGTGCGTGCAACATTTGCACATATATTTAGCGTCATTTCATGACGTGTAGCTCTGTAAAAAAAAAATTGCATTACGGTTACCTTCCTTCCGCATGCTTTGCGTAACGTCGATTCCTAGGTACGTGGGATCTGCCGAATTTTTTTCTTGCTTGGACACAAAGATTTAGACACAACTGGGAAGCGTCTTTTCTGAAAAAAGTCTGACAGGGTATTCGTTCTGTATATCTTATTGCTACAAGCCGCTTGGTGAGAATACCGAATGTGAAGAAATATGTCTCGCTTTTCGTGAAGTCTGTGAAATTCTAATGGTAAGGCTTATCACTAATGTAAAGTAGCGTCGCTTCTCTCGTCCAGGAAATTGTAAGCAGCGTGTAACCACGAAAAGCTATTCATTTCACGATATGAAAATACCATAGGTACGTGACAGCAAGACAGAAACAAAACGCGGAGAGAGTGTAGACTACTGAGCAATCACTATAGTGTAATTACTCCACTTAAGTTTTATTTTATTTTTGTTTTTTTAACACTGCACTTTACTTACGGTAGCATGCTACCTAATCTCGGCCCGGCTTGTATGAAGAAACTAAAGCGTTCCTGGCACAAATTAAATATGCAGCCTGCCGAAGGTTCGATACGAAGAACTGCACGGCCCAGGGAGGGGTTCACCTGTCCAACGGTTCCTGCATCATCCAGAGTGAAGTGGACCCGGCTGTCTGGGATGCGGTGAAGAACTCCACGGACAACACGAAGATGGCCAGCGACGAATTCTTCCAGTAAGACTCTCATTCTCATTCGCCGTGAAGAAAGAGAGAGAGGGGGAAATGGCGACGAAAGCCAGGGAGGTTGTGGGAATTGAGGCTAGCCCGCTGCCTTTGCGCGGGCTTTGCCGCCTTTTCTGCCGTTCTCATGTCCCGACATGTCTGCCCTCCTTGCTGTCTGCCGCGCTGGGAAGGGCGGAGTGACGTTTAACTCCCTCACCCGGAAGCGGATGTGGACTGTGGCGCCGCGCGCGGGGACCCCCGAGAGGTTTTCGCGCGCTGCGTCGGGAGCGGTCAGATACTCTCCGGGACAGCAAACGGTGAGCCACGATGTCTTTCCCGTCCGTCGACTCCCGTCAGTCGGGGCTCGTCGGACTTCGCTGACGGCGCCTCGCGCCCAAGGCGAACGCTCACCTTTTGTTGCCCCGCTGCGTACGCACGGCCGAAGGGCAGTACGGTGTCCTAGTGCGTGGCCTAGCTACGCCGACCCGTCTCCCTTCGAAGCCAACGCGAGCGCCTTTGCCCTCGCTCGAGCAACCGGGCCCCCTTTGTCCCGGTGTCTCCGTGGATTACCTTTACCGCGGAGACGTGCTCGTGGCACCCCTGTGTAGTACGTTGTGCCCGTGGCGTGGATAAGCCTACTTGCTTTCCCGCCGCGCCTTTTTGCAACGGGCTGTACTGCGTTTGGTGTTGCCACAATAGTGTTGCGACGTTGAGCAGTATCGTGTTCTCGCCACGGCGACGGTTAACGCGTGCCCTGCGGCTCGCTAAGACCGGACCCACGCTGGTGGCCGTACTCCTTCGGGATACGTGTACACCACAAGGTTAACCAAGTTTTGACTCGGTAGGCTGCCCTACAATTGGGGACTAAGGGGGGGGGGGGGTGCATAATATAAAAGAATAAAGATAGAGAAGAACGAAGAAGAGTAAAAAGAGTCTGATTAACAGTTAGCTTGGAACTACACAACACGGGCTCGCGCTGTTCGTTCACAAGCTTTCGTAAAGTCTCCTGGTCCTCAAAAACACAAGAGAGCATTCGCAGTAAGATATGCAGTGCGGCTATGGTTCCATGAGCCTGTTATGAGTCGGCCATGTGCTTGTTATTGTAATTATTCTAACAATGTCTTAACTACATTTATATGATCAACAAAGAAGGAAAACACGCGATCGTGACTGGTTAGCTGGAAACGCCTTGTTTCTAAGACTGTATAGACCTTTTCAAAAACGGCTCCCTGGGCGCTGCCATAGTCCCTTCTCGCTGCGCAAATTAGCGTGACCCCACATAAGGGCACTGCTGAGGCTGTGACTTGTGCCTTCGTACTACTCCAGTGCGCAGCCCGTCATGGCGACGTTTTTTATCAGTGTTGTCATTTTAATAGTTGAATCATATTCTTCCTATCTCGCCTAAATGCAATACTATAAGAATTAGCATGAAGGTCGCTTGCCTTGATATAGATAACGCACGAATGGGACAGACTGGGCATCCTATTGCAGAACACACAAGGGACCTGCGGCGACCCCCCCCCCCCCCCAATTTCTGACATATTGGACTACTTTCTCATATCACAGTCATAATGTAGATTGGTTTGAGTTCCTTATTATTTTTGTTTTTTTTTTTTAGTGAGAATGAGGTTGGAGCGCTTTTCTCACCACTGTGGTGCCTGTGTTTCATCCTGCCACTTACACGTTCGTATTCAGGTGCTATTTCGCGCTATCGTACCATTGATACTTGCAGGTGTTTTTTGTAGTTTCATGGAACACTGACATAATTCGTTAGCATTAGGAGCAAAAAATGGTAAAAAAATAAAACTTGAACCATCTTCCCGAAGAGAACTCTGATGGGATGCGAAGCAGACGCGTTGCGCACGGGTGGCTTCACGAGTTGAACAGTGCTAACGCGGGTGCTGCGGTGAGCGCTGGAAGATTCGCTTGAAGCGATGGCTGCCGTATAGGTGACACGTACAGACATGTTTAAACGCGTAGGTTAGGCGTTGGTTAGGTTTACTGCGTGTGAACCGACGAGGCCACCGTGTAGCGATCGGCGGTCGCGGCAGGTCTTGCGGGCCAACTGAGGCGGCAGCTGCGAGCTCCCGGCAGGCGAGGGAGATAGTAGCACGCACTGCGAGGGGAGCATGACGTCAATGAGCAGCAGCGGCGTGACCTACATGGCGCCGCGCCAACGCCTGCAGCCCGTGGCACGTTCGTATGGAGGGACAGCGTTACACAAGCTGGTCATAGAGCTATTTCGCGTCTAAAAAAGTGTGCAAGTGTGTGTCAGGCCAGACGATATCGCTTACTTAATTCCAGTACTGTTGGTTATTGAACTAATTGAGGGTGGTTTGAGGTAACCATGGCTAGCTAAGACGCCCTTCTGCTGCACTTACAAAAAAAGCCGCACTAAGTTTTATATGCTGTTTTTAAGCTCGTTTTTTAACCAAATCAAGAAAAAAAAAGCCATGGTACATTTCTTTCCTTCTTGGGGAGTACAACACCTCAGGCCACATGACAGATGTTACGTTACAGGTTTTCGAAATTGCCCGTAAATTCACTCTCGCCGTTCGCTTATCTTTCTTGGGGAGTACAACACCTCAGGCCACATGACAGATGTTACGTTACAGGTTTTCGAAATTGCCCGTAAATTCACTCTCGCCGTTCGCTTATTGCTGTTTGTAGCAACTATGTGCTGGACCTGACTGAAGGACTACATGACCTCGGTGGAGTGCGGTGGCAGCTGGCCCTGTGCCTCTTCATCTGCTGGGTCATCGTGTTCTTCTGCTTGTACAGGGGCGTCAAGACAATGGGAAAAGTGAGTGCGGGTGTTTTAGTATTAATTTATACGTGTCAACTTAACTTGTAAGTGGTTATCTTACGGATGACATGCACCAGTTACACTGTTCATTCAATACTGCCACGGCTATGCAGATTGATGCATTGGTTCACCCAAAATGAATTCCGAATCTATTCTATCCACCGTTTCTCAATGCGCTAACATATTGGGAGCATCGAAGTTGAAAAAAAAGTAGTGCGGTCTACCGTTTGTATGAAGATTAGCGTATTAAAGTTGATATTGCTTTATTTTGCCATCTTGTATAAATTACAGATTCAAATGTGGTGGTTGTAGAAAAAAAGCTATCCAGGATAGTTTGACGTGTCTATACCCCTTTCCTTTGGCAGGTGTAATTGTTAATAGTAATTTATTCATGTAACATCAGCATTGTCGTCTAAAGGTGACGATCAGGGTAAGTAAGGAGTTGGAGGTGGATAAAAGTGATACTAACGCCTTTCTCCGCCATTCATAGCTAATTTCGTCTTTATTTTAGCTTTTCACACAAAAAAGCACAAGCGCAAACGCTTTCAATATAGTTTTTAACTACATAGGGATAAGTAACTTTTTCACTTTTCGTATTTTAGTGCGTTTGGCGAGGTTGGTCGAGTGTCGGCATCACTTTCGCGTTGGAAGCTTCACCGCGATCTTATGCTTAAGGCTATCTTTTTACCTTGACTTTTAGTCCTTGTCTTTTTTCTTGTTCTTCTTTTTATGACCTGCAACTTTTTTTTTCGTGGTTTGCAGGTTGTCTACTTCACAGCCTTGTTTCCATACGTTGTGTTGGTCATTCTGCTCGTCCGAAGCTGCACTCTCGAAGGCGCTTACGACGGCATTATGTTTTATCTCACTCCTCAGTGGGAACGACTCATGGAAGCTAGGGTAAGGCATCTTCTTTGGCACAACGCGTGCACGTTTCCGCGCGATTCCTCTAGCCTCGCGCTTTAGAAATCGCGCGAACTTGTGATTTCTTAAGCCTTGCTTGATTTTGTGTTTCGTTCCTGATCCTCACCTTGCTCTTGTGCTTGATCGTTAGCTGAAACGTAGAACTTCTAACACACGGAATATTATTCAATAAGTTATTCAATGGATCATGTTGCTGTCGCTGAAACTTCTAATGATAGTATCTCATGAAACAAGCTTTAATTAAATCTGTATTGCTTAGGCAAATTTTACCAGATACTAATATTTTTCTTCTTATTGAGACACCAGCAAATGTTCACCAGAGCTTTCTTTTATTGTGCTAGTTCTTTGTTTTCGGTGTTTATTTATACACTTTTACTGAGATTATAGTGGCGCACTTGTTACTAACTGCTTGTTTTCAGGTTCCTTGGGTAAGTGGAGCGCCTTAATGCGAGCTCGTCGCTGGTGCGGAGTTCTAACAACTGTCAGTTTATCAAACTAGCCATCGACCAACTAATCGTAGACATACTGCGACGTAACTGTAGACAAGGCGCGTCTTTTTCGTTTACTAAAAAAAACGAAAAAGAAAAGAAAGAGAGATTCTTACTTCCTTCCTACCTTGCACAAGGGCACGCGAGTCTGGCGAGGGCGCGTGAACTGCAGGCAACCCTATTACGACTGCATAGATTCTTTTCCCTGTGTCGTCTCAGGTCTGGGGTGACGCTGCAATGCAGATCTTCTTTTCCTTGTCTCCGTGCTGGGGAGGCCTTATTACTTTAGCCAGCTACAACCGTTTCCATAACAACTGCTACAGGTGAGCCACCTTCACGTGCAACTGCACGATTACATCCTCCTTTTGTGTTTCTTGCTTGACTTGATGCATTTGTCAGAACAAAATGCTGGTGTGTGGCGCTGGCACTTGTCTTTGGTCTCTTCTTGTGTGCCGATCTTTTGTTGAATTCGCCGTGTTTTTTTTTTTTGCGTTGTCGCGATTGACTGATGCGTCGTTTTGCCTTCGAATTGTTATGATGCATTGGTGATCTGTGCAATTACGTGGTTGACACGACGGGAGCTTTTTGCTTCTCCTTGTTTGTTTTGTGCTGGTCTTTCTACTGAGCAGGATCGTTTGGCTGATCAGTGTGGGTTTGGCTGACCACCGTTCTCGTTTCTTTTGCACCCTCTCTTCGCAGGGACACCCTCTTCATCTGCTTCGGCAACTGCGGCACCAGCTTCTTCGCCGGATTTGTCATATTTAGCATAGTCGGTTTCATGGCACACAAGCTGGGTGTGAACGTGTCTGAAGTCGCTGCTCAAGGTAATTGCTACTCAGAGACACTGCAAAAACCTACTACTGCTATGCGTGTCCCTTTCGTTGTGACGTCCCGCAATCAGTCGTGCCGGCTGCTCACGCCAGAACAAACAAAAGCGGATTTGCATTGCGCAATGTCGTGATCATTGAGATCGACGCGCCACCTGACGGTGAGCGAGCGCACTATGTGGTTGGCCCAGGGGCGAGTGACGCCGCTGTAGCTACCCTGTGGAACTCTGGCGGAAGTTTGCTTTTCGTGCGCAGCACCTACGGATCCATTTGTGGATGCCAGGCACCAGCTACGCTGGCAAAGTGTTTCCGCTGTTTTTACGGTGGCTTTAAGAGGAGCTTCGATGGGCTTTCCTCATACCCGAGTCGTTGCCCAGGACGCGACAGTTCACGAAGCTTCTCTGAACAGAAAGAGCAACAAAATGGCCACAGAGATTCAAATGATGTCTCTTTCATTGGCATGCCGTCAAATTTCCCCCAGCAGGGTGTATTCGATTGTAGATAAATTAATTCTCGCCCGCTCATGGACGGCGGTGCTGCTCTAGAAAACCAAATCCTGCTGTACAGAGAGTCAGGAAGAACTCGTGAGCGCGAAGGTAAGTCGCCGGCTAAGCTTATGTAAGGCACGTACCACGTATTCGACACGATCCAGCAAAGCAAGATGACACTGGAAGATGATGGACAATGGAAGACATCGAGTGACCAGCAATTCTGGCTCGCTGGGCTTACGATGCCTGTGATCGAGCCAGTTTTCATTTTTTCCCCGATTTTTTCGCCATGTATGTACGATTCATGGAGGTGATTAAAACTCTTGTTGTTCCAGACCAGAGTGTTTGGAATGATTCGAGTGTGCTCGATTCAGAACGTGCGATGAGAGCGTTGACAATTTGGGCGTCGATTCTCTGTTGTGTGTGTACGTACATGCGCTGGCTGAAAGCATTAAACTTTGTTCTTTCTGGCGATGTGTACTGATTGATTGCGCTTTGAAAGCGCTGAACAAAACTTTCTGTTATTTGTGACAGAAAAATGAAACGCAAGGTAAGTGTCGAAACCGAAGTATTATGGTTTTTCCAGTGGAACTGATTATTGGTCCACCATACAGTGTCAACTTTCAAACATGATTTCTGTGATGTACCTTCTTCACGTTGTTAAGTTCTTTAACTTTGTTCGTAACTGCTACTTCCAGGGCTCAGTGAGTCCTTTGCATGCAGTGAACTGATCCTGTTTGTATTGTTTAAACAGGACCCGGATTAGCATTTGTGGCTTACCCTGAAGCGGTTACTCACTTGCCCCTGCCACCTCTCTGGGCGTTCCTATTTTTCTTCATGCTGATGACCCTGGGAATGGGAACTCAGGTAAATGTCTTACACGTTACTCTTGAATAAATTAGCTGGAACTCAGATCACAATTTCTAAACTGCATCAAACTTACGGTATGGGAGGCACATGAATTTCAAGTATTTGTGGTTTCCTTTGAATGATGCTCAAATTATTTTGTTCTTGCTGTCTTTTTCAACTCTCCTCTACAGTTTACGATTATCGAGACGGTCGTTACAACCATCGTGGACACCTGGCCAGAGAAGCTTCAGCACAGAAAGCCTCTCGTATTGCTTGGAGTCTGCACGACACTCTTCTTCGCGGGACTCGTCATCTGCACAAACGTGAGTGATTGCTGGGTGAATTCCTCGAAACTTCTGCTCTCATTCTCGCGTTTGTTCCATCGTTCCACGTCGTATAGCTCTGTTTTTTTTTTTGTCTACTTTGCATGATATGGCCCTAGTCAAAGTGGGAATACCGTTTTCTAACTGTTCATTAGAATGTAACCGGGGACTGAATTGAAGCCGCGGACTTTGCGAATGCGAAAGCATCGGTCTCATCAGAAGGACATTCAATTAGTCAGTGTTCAAGTAAAGCTGGGCTCTTTTTTTTTCTACTTTGCATGATATGGCCCTAGTCAGTGCGGGAATCCGGTTTTCTAACCGTTCATTAGAATATAACCGGGGACTGAATTGAAGCTATGGACTTTGCGAATGCGCAAGCATCGGTCTCATCAGAAGGACATTAAATTAGTCAGTGTTCAAGTAAAGCTGGATGCGATACCGCATGAAGCATACTAGAAGCATCTACTTCTTTGTCACTACTTTATCTCCTTCTGCGATTCAGCCTTGTTCAGAGTGTGGCGGCTTGGTATGCACTGATGCAACATGTGAAGCAGCAATGAAATCATTTCTGGTTCAGTGTTTTATTAAAACGACGAGCTTTGTTGACCCTCACTATGTTCAGGAAGCGAAAGTTTTTTGCTAAAGTCGATGTCGGTATTAACAGACTCCTCACTTGAATTCTTAATGCATTACATGACAGTTGAATTAAAGCACCTGCACAAATATTTGTTCAGTGGTGAAGAAATTAAGTGGATAGCCTTAATAGCTGGTTTAACTCTCTCATGAAGAAGTTACATGTAGAAACGTTATAGCTTAGTTCACCTCCTCACTTCACTAGTGACTAGACCGTCCTCAACATTTCATAACAAACATGCACAACGGCGACGTCAAAGATATGCAGGGTTTCGCATAACCTATACATATATAATATTTGACGAATAGCTGTGGGATTGACTTTCGTTTCCAATGAATGTAATGTTATTCTGTCTTTTGTTGCATCGACGACTAACAGGATCGGACTGGAAAAATAGTTATTGGTTAAAACTAGTACGGTAAAGACCTGAGTGATCTGTGAATGATGCATATATACTTAGCGCATACGTCTGCTCTTTTCCTGTGCCTTTTTTTTTATTTTAAGCCTCCTTCCTTTCTTCCTTTGCATGGTAATCGCACCTTTATATTAAGGAGTGTCTGTCTGAAATCTTTCTATCTACAGGGTGGCATGTACGTGCTGCAATTGATGGACAACTACTGTGCCAGCTTCTCTGCCTTGATGATTGGCTTGACAGAAATCATCGTGATTGCCTGGGTCTACGGTGAGTGACTGCTTACTATGTCGGAACAAGTGCAGCCTTGTAAAATGGGTCAATAAACAATAAATCAGCAAAAACTGCATAAGGAAGTTACACAAATGAGTTTGTAGCAAGCTGTGACAATAACAGGCGCTATAGACTTAGTTCAATGCCAGATCCACCCTGTGGAAAGGCAGCAGTTCATGCGCGTACAAGTTTCATATTGTATCGTTCGATATGTGGGGTTTAACGTCCCAAAATCACCATATGATTATGAGAGATGCCGTAGTGGAGGGCTCCGAAAATCTTGACCACCTGGAGTTCTTTAACGTGCACCCAAATCTGAGCACATGGGCCTACAGCATTTTCCCCTTCATCGAAAGTGCAGCCGCTGCAGCTGGGATTCAATCCCGTGACCTGCGGATCAGCAGCCGAGTACCTTAGCCACTAGACCACCACGGCGGGGCATTTAAGTAATTGTATGTGGAGCAGATCAACTTTGAGTATAATAAAATCTCATAAATAGTGTCTCGCCTGTTATTTCTAAACTTAACAATGTTTCGAACGCTGAAAACTTGTCCGCGTTCCTCCAGACTCAACGCTTTTTCTGACAGAATACTTGTCACGAAGCGAATGCTTGATCTGCTTTCACAGGTGTCGATCGCTTCATGGAAGACATCAAAGTCATGCTGGGTCATTATCCGTTCCCCGTGCACTACTGGAGGCTGGTTTGGAAGTACCTGGTGCCCACGCTTATCTCGGTGAGACATTTTATTCAATATCTTCGTGAAATCACTGAATACTGATTACAGCCCATGCGAATCATCTCGCATAACAAGCGCCATTTCGCACTGACGAGAAAGGGTGATTTCGACTTCGGGCTGTTCGGCGTGCCACTACAGCCCATAAGGGCAATAACCGCTGGCGTCTTCTGGAAGTTCACGTCGTTGAGAGTAAAACTGACTTCAGATCTCACTTGAATTTTATTGTGAGGTTCATGGCAAAAACATAAGATATACTTCTCGTCATGGATAGCTTCTATAAGCCAATATCTCGCTTCTATTAGGGGCGAAGCTCCTTATTCCGTGGGTCGTACGTCCCGTGTCCTTGTAGTCATCGTAGTAGTCACTTGCATTACATTGCGTGTCAATAAAAACGGTGTCACAGCATATCCACGCAGAGAATGATAATGAGTGGGACGAAGCGTTCATCAGTCCGGCATGCGTTCATTTCGGGTGGTCTGGCCTCGTACTTCTGAACGATGTTGAGCTCTCAGACGTCGGTGGACGAGGCACTGGCATTTGCCAATTCCTCGTTGGTCTTACGCACTCGTATTACCACGAGGACGGGCTGTAGAGAGCTTCGCCCCACTCTTCATCATTCACCTCGTGAATGTGCTGTTTTTTTTTTTTTTTATCAATGGACAACGCTACATGCTTGTGTTTCGTTAACGACAGTTAATTTTAAGAGATGACACCTTAAAGAATAACAAACTGCTGATGATACACGCTGGCTCTCTCCACGTCGAAGTGTTTAAATCAACGTTATCTAGTGTTTATAAAACCATCTGTACATATAAATCTTAGTATACTGAAAGAAAATTGCACTTTCTAACTAAATTGCATAAACCTCTCACAGAGACAAGTAAGGAAGTGAAGGAAGTATGAACAGTGCAGGGCCTGTATACGACAGCCTATATGGACGCCGATATGGCTCTCATAGCCGCAGTGCACACACACTAAAGTCAACTAGTTTTTCCCTCATTACACACACATATTGCAGGTGGTTCATGCATGAGTGTGAGAGAAAATATAAACGTTGTGAAACTGTGGAGAAATAAACTTCAAACTGCTCCAATGCCCCTGTCAGGTTTTTCACTGTAATTGAGAGGTCTCTGCCTATAGTTTCCGACCAAGTGTTCATGAAACACAAGCGTACTTAGGACACCGCGTTGTCCACGTGACCTGTCGATCGCAGGCCATCTTGGTGTTCTCCTGGATCGACATGCCCTCGACAAAGTACGGCGACTACGAATTCCCCACCTGGGCCACCGGCGTGGGATTCCTGTTCTCCTTTACCTCGATCAGCGCCATCCCGATCGTGGCCGCCATGAAGATCTACAACGCCAGGGGAACGTTAAAAGAGGTGAGTGTCAGCGAATTGCGCTCGCATTGTTCTACGAGTCAATCGGTCACACATTAGCATATGAACTGACAAAAACGAAACCAATAAATACGCGATAATTTGCAGCAATGACTGTAAACACGCCCTGAATGAACGCTTAAACGTAGCATAAAATTCATTATTATCATTGTTAGCCTGTTTCAGTCCACTGCCGGACGCAGGTCTCCCCCAATAGTCTCCAGTTTACCTTGTCCTGTGATTCTATTTTATCACTGCGAGCTTCTTAATTTCGTCTCTACATCTCACTCTCTACCTTCCCCTACTCAGTTTCCCATCACTAGTTAACAATTATGTTACTGTTTATGTCCAGCAATCTGGGACATCGACTAGTGCGGCAAAGTGGATCCCAAGGGGAAGCGCTGGGCGCCAACGTTAAGGGCAGCGTTCTTCAAAAAAAAAAAATGATTACTGAGCAATACTTGATTTTTTCGCTAATTGCAGTTAAGGCACTTATTGCTGACAACGCTCTTATGCTGTACAGCGCGAATAGTTCTAATTCGCTGGATGAATTTTTTTTCTCCGAGACACGTTTCTGTATCCATTGAAAATTTATGGGGTGATTTTTGAAAAGCTAATTGTAGCGCAACGATAAGTTATTTGCCGATTGCTCTCTAGTGTCATGTATGGTAAGACAACTTGTCTTTGTGTTTGTAATTTCGTGGGATTACGCTGACTGGGATTTTTCTGGAGAGCTTTCCCAAATCTATGGTGCAGGAAAGCAGCATTACAAGGGTAAACAAAATCACCAGTCAGCAAATTGATGAGAAAGTGGCCGTTGATCATGGGAAAAGCTCAAGAAAAGTCTGCAGATGTGATGTACATTATGATGTACAGCATGAAGGTCTGTACGCCACGTGGTGTGAAAAACGGTGAACTAAAATCTATGTCCTGAATGGCTGGGTATGACTGTTCACCGCTGTGAGTTTATCCTATGCATTACGTGACCTGCTCAGGTTAACTGGTTAATTGAAAGTTAGCTTGTGTTAGTTAACCATGTACACGAAGATAACGTGCTGAAAATTGTGGACTTGGTTAGCAGGGAAGTATGTAAGAACGTAATACCTGTAGTGACGCCGTATTAATGTTCCTGCATCTGCATGACGTCAAACAATCTGACAAAGTATGTTCGCGCCTGGTTGGTGAATTGCTGATGGGTGAAAGACAGTTTTTGCGTTTTAAACGAAAAGAGCGCCAACATGGCGGGCTTCTAGAACGCTGCTAAAGACTCGCGAATGCAGGGGTAATATGTTCATGTTCGGTACGTCACTTCCACATAACATGGCTGAAATATCAACCAAATACTTAGGAAGGTATCTTGGCTTTTTAAATTTTCTGCTAGTGATAAGAATGTCTACCAATTTTGCTGAAAGAGCTTAAATATAGACCCTTAAAAGAAAAATTCAAATACCATATAAAACGATGTGTGTATTCTTTTATTACTATTTTCATATTCCTCCGCACCGTTCAATATATTTCCTCGGTGACAATCGTGTTCGATGGCACTAGAAGAGAGGAAGATAGCACATAACACAGCACATACACAAACATGCCGTCAGTCACATGTCCATCACGCTGGCGGGGTACGTGACATTCAGCTGCTTGTCGAAGTTCGTTTTTGTTAGAAAGTTCAGTGGTTTTTTGGTCGCCTTCAGCTTTCTGTTGACCTCATTAGCACCTATCTTGTGCATATGCATTTCTCTCTTACCCCAGTGACGTTCAGTTTGCCCACACATACTTCACGCAGCGCATCAAGATGCTTTCCCAACCTACGGCCGAGTGGGGACCCAAGCTGCAGATGCACCGCATGGAGACGCACAGCCCCAAGCACACTGACTCTCAGGTGCCTCTGGCGCTACCCAGCTACAACCAGGACGGCGACGACGACGACGTCTTCCCCGTTTACTACAAGCCCGACAACGGTGACTCGGAGTCGGAAGCCGGCGGCATCAGCCTCAACATCCGGAAGAGCTCCTACGAGACGGGCCGATGAGGGCCGCCGTCTCGGGCTGCAATGCATGCAGAGAGCGCCAGCTACGGGACTGCTCCTGTCGCGACGTGGCCCCGACGTCGGCGCCGCCGGCACGACGTGTCTTCCTCCGCAAGTGCCACAGCAGCACCGTCTTCCACGGAGATATTCGGGGCCGGCCCCTCGGCTACCCAGACAGCCGGAGGTCGTTCACACCCTGTAGCTGTACCTGTAGCCAGTATCTCAGTTCTGTTTTGGCTGCGAGGCTTATAATGCACGCCAGGCGGAGGTAAACTGAGCCGCCTGCCAAACGCCCGTTGTTGATGAGAGGCATTTGGGATTATTGTGGCGTCGACGCTACCACGTCCTTCCCTTCGGTCTTATGTGAGGTCTCACCTCTCAATTCCGACATGCAGTCTCGGACGCCGTTGACCGTTGTCATGGGATCGATCTCTGTCGTATCTTATGTGATCGATTGAGGTTCACGAGAACAGGTTGACCTCACCTCTGTTGGATAAGCCGATGTCGAGAACGACGTCATCGACTGAAAGCATGATGTTGCACCACATTGGCAGCTCACGTTTTTGTCTTGTGGAGCGTACTTTGTCGAAGAAGCTGCAAGCTAAATGGCGTTTGTCGGGCGACCGGCTTACAGCTCCTGGATAAGAAACGTTACTAGAGAGTCACATTGTCATCGATGTGTGACGAAACGGCTCAATTTCACTTGGCCTACAGACTAATCGTGACCTTGCAGTTGACACCAGCTCACTGAGAGTGTCTCAGCATCGATAAGTGCTAAAAAGAACGCAAGCAAACGCTACCCTCAGCTTTGTTTCCTGTGCAAAACTGCTTTGCAGCTACGTTGCAGTGAGCATTAGTTGAGAAGCCGGCTGAGATCCGCCGGTGTGATAGACAAGCCAAACATGAGTCCCAAAGGATTTAGTACTGATTGTGTCAGCTTGTTAACTAGTATTGTGTACCTTGTAGCAAGGTAATGTGTGGCCCCGGGAAGGTGTTCGAAAACGAACACATTTTTTTTTTTTGCTTCCCGAGTTTGACTTTACGCAAACTGCTTACGTCAGTATAAGCGTGTGAGTGTGTCTATAGTACGACACTCAGACACTAGACGTAACAAGTTATGTTATGTAAAACAAAAAAAGAAAAAAAAACATCTCTGGCATGGCCACACGACACGCGCATAAGCTGAGTATATAGTTTAAATGTTGGTATATTGCCGGTCTTTACCTGATCTGAGATGTTTACCTTGTTTCAGCCTGATATCTGATGCTGACAGCTACTTTTTAGGAAAACTGTAAAAACAAAACCCATGAAAGTCAAAAATCGAAGAAGATTAACTATGTATATTTAGTAGTAAATGTATTTGACTAATCTTTAATAACAATTTCTACAAAAATTCAAACATTTGACTGTTCTTTTTATAAAAAAAAAGCTATTTTTTTGCCGATAGGCAACTTAATATGCCTCAGTGTTAGGCTGAAACGAAGTACACTCCTGCGAAGATGGTGCTCTGGGCATCTGTGTGTGTCCATGTATTATATGACTTGTTTAGTGTAAGCGAATCCGTTGTACCAGATACGGGATTTCATCGATCATGCAAAATTCAGCTGTTGTACATTGCGCTTATTGTATTGTATGCAGGTTTAATGCAATTGAAAAGAAATTCACTTTCACACACAAACACTCACACACACACACACACACACACACACATAGAGGAGACCTCTTTATACATAATGTCCACATATCACCTTTATCTCCGTACTGTTTGTTTAGACGTACAGTCAACTTCTCGATGACCGCCACATGTCATGAGTGTAAAAAAAAAACAAATTCACGCACTTCAGAAACGCAACTATAGCACTTTAATAGACGTGGAATGTGCAACACCATCTTTCATGCACGATATTGCGATTTGTTAAATATGCTTATTTCATGACACGATGACATAGTGGGAAAAAAGTAAGAGTTGCAATAAGCCTATCATTTGAAATGAGAATTCAATTCGTAAAATTAACTTTCCCTCCTAAACCTTGACCACGTGAAAGCGTGGTTCAGTATTTTGGTCTGTTTACGGTATTAAAAGGTACAGGCTGCTTTTTCCTGGGCTTTGTACTTCACGCAGTTAGCGGGAACTGTTTGCAGATTAATTGGTGAACAATAGATGATCAGATTCCCGATAATTGTATTTCAGCGTGTCTGTCAAAATGCATATTTAATCGACGCGGTGATCGCTGGAGCTGTTTGTTCGAGAATACTGAGACAAAATTGGGTCGCCTTGGATCGGTTCGCTCTGTTCATGAAACATTTTTCGAGTTACGACGTGCAGTTAAGGCTTTATACTTGTAAACCACGAATTGGGGGCTGCCCTTTCCAGTAGTCTTGTGGAGAGTGCAAACGTGTTTTGTCCCTTTCAAAGTTTGTGGCGTTGAAACGAGGGTGGAATGTGAAACGCGTGAGCCCATTTTCGAACGCAGTATTTGAGCATTTCTAGTGTGTACACTCGAACATGAAAGGTGACAAACTCTAGCTGTGATGTTGCTTGCTCACGTCCTTGAAGGAAGACGGGAATTGTAAATTCATGAGGGTAGTGCGCAGAAGAAGAAGAAGAAGAAGAAGAAGAAAGAAACGCGTGTCTTCGTGTCTTCCTCTACCTGGCTTGAACAGTATCCAGAGAGCAGTGATCAACTTTGTACATAGTCATACGTGTAGATTTGTGTCATGAAAACTGCATGGTCTGTACTTACACGCACCACGCCGTGATGTTTGCTTCTTTTCGTTGTCACTTCGCCTGCCCCCATTATTTTGACCATGTTGATGTTGTTGCTGTACACGCGCCATCTTTTTTGTTGTCGGGATGTTGTTGAGATGAACGAATATGTTGTTCGCTGTCTGTCAAGGCACGAGTTAGGGTAGGAAGGCTTATCAATTATCAATTACAGATTACAGTTGAAACAGAAAATGAACTGTTATGACCTTCACAATAGCCAATTAGACATCTTAAAGAAACAGTCCATCCTAGCGAAACAGTACATTGGGCAGACTTTTGCTTACCACTTATCGGCGATTTGTCGTTTCGTAAATGGGTATCAGCAGAAATTTCAACATTTTTTTTTATGAACGCAGAATGATGTCGAGAACTTTGCGGAGTATAACTATTTTGGTTAATTACTGTTTTAGTTTGACAAAATTGCCAGCTATTGTCTATCTATCGGTCGCCTGTAATGCGACGTTCAGCATGTTTGTTCATTCAATTCGAGCACTATATATAGGGTGATACCCTTAAAAGTATACTCCGTTGCCCCATGAATAACACCTTGCAAACTTTCTATTATAAACAACAGCAAGATCTAACTACAATTCTAATGAAAAAAAGGTGTCGTAAGAAACTTTGTAATTGATTCTTCTGTTCACCTGGTGTGCGCAAAAACACGACTCGAGATTTCGGCAGCGATATGTACGAAAATTTTACTTACTGCACTTTTCATACCGTCTATCGCATGTATAATCGTCAAGTACGATGAAAAGCCGGTGAACAAGAAGATTGCGCTACCTGCGACTTCGAGCCTACTCCTTAAATGCCAGGGTGTTAGTCACGAGACAGCTGAGCACCATTTTTTACAGCTATAAAGGTGTTCTTAGTGTGTATACTCGACTCTTGAAGGTGCACTACGAGTGTAACTGCTCGAAGCTTACAAGAAGCCCCCTCTGTGAAGTTGTACATACGTGTATTTACACCGACGATTTTAGAGACATGAACCATTCTCTGTCCTTTTTTTTTTCCTTGGATAAGTAAAAGAGGGGGGGGGGGTGTCACGAACATCTCTCGCGGCTGCAGACTGGGAAAACACACGACACGCGAGAATCGGTTCAAGCATCGACACCGACTCTTGCTGACTTGTGCCAACTGGGACGCGACGATAGTGCGTCACGAGTTTTTCTTTGTTTTCGCGTGTTGTTAAGCGTGGTTGCTAGTCATTTTATTGCCCGCGCGACGGGGGCGCTCCCGGAGCATAGCAAGATCTGTCGTGCTCACGGTGTAGGGATTGCAATTAAGTACACTTTCGATTCACGAGTCCCAAATGAACCCGCCCACTTTATTGCACGTTCCGCTGTCGACGGTTATCAGAAGCAACAAAAAAAAAACAAATGAGGCACTACTCTCAGTTCGGTTTCATTACATGAAATGCGCAACCTGATGATCGAGCAAAAGCTGGTTTATAGATAACGAGCGCTGCGCCGATAACTTGTGCTTCGGCTCGTATATCGTAAACTGATGTACTCAAACGTGTAAACCCTTCCTGTAAGTTGGAATTCCATCATCGTTGCGTTGATTGCTTGGCATTCTACTTGGTAGTATACAGACAGATCACCGTTCGCCTGGCGCGGCCAAGGTTTACAGTCACGTAAAACTGTGCTATCGCTGGTGATAACATCTGACGTCATTTTCCTATCCCGTCACCATTTATTGATTCCTATCGTCGTGGAACTGATCCGTTTTCTATTGCAGTGCATTCTTTTGTAAAACATTATCTACTGTTCAAGTTAAAATTATCACGACGCGCCGTGAAAATGGTGAGAGAACGAACACGGGGTTTCATGTACAGGACCACAGAATCAGCTGTAGGCAGCTTTGATCTAGCCGTGTTCTAGCTTTTGCAATTTGGGTGAAGATCACAACATGTTATCATTCACACGAGCTCTGTTCTTGAGAAATTTTTTTGTTTTGTTTTTTTTATGGCCTTAGGGTTTGTAACTAGTGCTCTACTGTATACGGGTCGTGATACCGCCAAAAAGTTAGCCAGTGAAATAAAGTACACTACTCGATATTGGGCAATGTATTTCAATTGTACAAGATAACGCTTCGTGTAGAATAATTCGAAGGTGGTTTCGCTACGGCGATGACAATAAGTTTGAGAATTTCATTGTTGCGAGTTTGTTTCCGAAAGATACTTCTCGCAATACCTTGTTTTGCACGCAATAACTCGAGCTCACGGCGTTCTCAACTGAAGACCGTGTGAGACTGCAAGATTTTTTAAATTTTTTTATTTCGCATCCATCTGCTTTGTATACCACTTTGCAACCAGCAATTGGTACTCGCATTGTATACAACACCAGTGTCTATGCGCCGAATGACTGTCTGCTCAACGAAGTGTTTTCGAACTGTCTCTTCTGTTTTGTATATATACGTAACATAGAATGACTCATCACATTGTTCGAGGTCCTGAAAACGTGTTTTAATATTTTTTTTTGTTTGCATGGCTTTCATATCATCACTCATGGCATTGAACTTGTTGCATGAATGATTACATAATAAAGATATGGTGAGAACATTGTGTACTTTTTCTCTTTATTTATTGCGCAGCGGCAGGCGGCGCGCTGTTTTGGCTCCTCTGAAGATCAGTGGCGTAGCCATAGCCAGAAAGTAAGACCCCCCCCCCCTTCTTCTTCTTTTTCATTTTACCATGGTGTACAAAGCCCCAAATTACCCTAGGCGACATCTCCCGGCCCTGCTCTACTTCAGGTAAAAGTGGTGCCCATCCACGAAAAAAAAAAAAGAAAGTGACTACGCCCTTGCTGCGGAGGCTAATCTACTATAATCGCGAACAACTTTTCTTCGCAATGCAACGAAGGCAACAGAGCTAAATCGCGCATATCCTACGGCTAACGAATCTTGTCCCACAACAGTGTTCTTTTTTTCTAAGAGAGATGTGAAAAATACTGCCTTCATTTTTTTGCATGTAGCTATCTGACACAGGACACATCCCACACCGGTAAGATATTCATATTTGTTTTAATTTGTTTCGTTGTCACTTCGTGTTTTTGAATTTTATGTTACCTCGAACGCCAAGCAGCGTCTGCGTCGATATGAAATGCTGGTCGCACTCACCCTTCACTACCCACAGCGGTACGAAACTCATGGCATACCGGATTACGTCGCGTAGTGCTATATCGTATACATGTGCAGAAGCTTCTCCCCGGTAGCTTTCCGTTCATTGCCGAGAAAAGCTGTCCGCGAGTACACAACAATTGTTAATTGTAGCCGCAAAAGGCGCTGCTCGGCTCCGACTCCTAACTTTCCAGGGGCCTGCCGCGCATGCGTCGCAGACAGTACTGATAGCAAGGCGGCGCTGATCACGTGAGATCGCCAGTGTTCACGCAGTCTTTATCGCCACAAAGCATGCGAATGTACGCGTGTAGAGTATCCACGGATTCAAACGCGACATCTTTATTATTTTTTCTTCGGTGTAATGAGCGTGCAATAGCTGGAGATGAACACGTCATGTCGCGAGGAAGTTCGAACCTGGTCACTAAAGAAATGTTGTCGCTAATCTACGCGTTAGAGCTGAAATTACGCTGGTATCTCCCGATTTGAAGATGCTAGCAACGAAAGTATGTGTGTTACTAAGCCTTAAATTGTCTGCAGTTTCTATCCGTGAATACTGTACGTCCTTCCTATACATGCGTATAGCGCTAAATGAACGCGCAGAAAACTAATATAACCATCAACAAGGTTTGCTTTTACGCAACCAAGCCGCCTTCTGTTTTGAAAGAGAGTGCGCCGTATAGACTTCATCGGTTATTCAATGTGCTTCGTGACGCCGCCTGCTGAAAAAGGTTGGCTTTCGCAACGTCCGGAAACATGGGCTGAATGCAGGAAGCTTTCCAATCGGTAAGAAACGTTTTTCAACGACCGGACAACCCTGGCTAACATTACCATACGCTTTCGCAACTTGTCGGTCACCGGCCAAGCGTAACGAAGGCTTTGTGAGAGCAGCACAACCAACGGTGCGTGCAAAGGTGTTCCTCATGCAAGAGAAGCGTGTAACGTGTACTTATTCGTTCGCTATTCTCCAGGTTACATGATGCAGAAAGGGATATTTCACATGCATCGAAAGAGATCCTACGACTGTCTAAATAATGGGCAAAGTCATCGAAGGTGGCCAGAGTAGTATATAATGCAACAAAACAGAGCGCTGCTTCATGGCGAAGGAGATTTCTGAGGCTTCTTGAATACTGCGGAGCAATCCCATAGCTATGAGAACGGACTATTTTTTCTTAGTTATAGAAAACCTATAGAAATTGATCAACATGTGGGGTTTATCGTCCCAAAACCACCATATGATCATGAAAGATGTCGTAGTGGAGGGCTCCAGAAATTTTGATCACCTGAAGTTGTTTAACGTGCACCCCAATCTGAGCACATGGGCCTACAGCGATTCGGCCTTTAACGAAAATGCAGCCGCCGCAGCCGGGATTTCATCCCGCGACCTGGAAACCTATAGAAAAACCCTGACACTACTATAGAGCGTTTTCTGCGGCTTGTTTGTCTATGCAAAACTAGGTGGCGCCACCGCACCGAAGCTTCATGGCCTTCTCCCCGGTGGCACGGCCGCAATGTGGCGGACGTTGCCGAGCAGCCTAGGGCGATAAACGGTGGTGGTAGTGATTCTTGGAGAAGGAAAAGGGCACATAATTTCTGTCAGCCACAAGGCGACACGGCGCAGTGCCTAAAAGCAAAAAAAAAGCGAAAAAAGAGAGAGAGAGAGAGAGAGAGAGAGAGAGAGAGAGAGAGAGAGAGAGAGAGAGAGAGAGAGAGAGAGAGAGAGAGAGAGAGAGATAAACGGGCGGCGCAGACTATACGCTGCGCCCGGTGTGCTGGCCTTCAACCCGGGAGTGGCGGCGGCGAATCGGCCCGCCATCGGCGACGGTGAAGATGTCGAAAGAAGAATATGCCATTAGATCACGTGTTCAAACATGGCAGCGCCCGTTCACTGTTGCGTAAAACCGTCTATAGCGGTATGTTTCTACATTTACAGCTTCGATTGAAACCAGCTTCTAATATTTCAATGCGTTAAGTAATATAAAACTAAATTAGCACCGTTTCTGCAGTGGTAACCGCTGCAGTAACTCCAAGAAAGTAAGTGCAACCAATCGTGCAGCGTTCTATAATCGCCGACTACTACATCGAAATTGTCGACTTCGGAAGAACTTTATGCAAGGTGACTGCAACGTCTAAACCAGCATGTTTTTTTTTTTTGCATTTTAAAGCAAGCCCGTGACTGTCTTGACATGCATACGACAACCCGTGTAATAGGCAAGAATTTCCAGAACACAGTTTCACTGGTATACGAGTCTTCATAGGATTAACTTTGTCGATAATGTTAGAGCGTCAGCGTAATAACCTATTAAAGGTACACTAAAACAATGATCGATGCCTGCTATTTTACAGACTCATTCTGCCATACATGGCATTTTTTCATATACGTTCAAATATAAGTAGACCCGCAGGCGTTTCTCAAATTTCGTTAGGAATCAAAGCAGTGACCTCGTCCTCAGCATCATTACGCGTCAGCCATTGAGTTATGACGAATGTTTGTTTCGTTCGAATTATTTCGACCTTGTATGTATGTATAATTTCCGCATACTTAAGTGGATATGCATTAAAGGTTATGAATGTCATCCACATAGAAATGGGATGAAGATACAAACAAAAACCGTACGTGTTTCGAAGAAAGAAATTTTCTCCGCTGAGTAAAAAATTCATAATAGACCTCTACTAGGGTACGTCACAGCGTGACGTCACCGGTGCACGTGCAAGGCGGTGATTAGCAAAACACTCCCGCCGGTGGCTGAGTGGGGTGCAGTCGCGCGGGGCTTGGGGCATTTTTTTTTTTTTTTTGAAAGCTTAATCTTCATCTCACAGTTGCAAAATTAGCTGTGGTATGTTATAGAGAACATCTAGGTGTGCGATAAAGTGCGTGATGAAATATTCGCCACGCTGGCTGGCTGTTTAGTCGGAGAAGTGAACACACGTGGCGGCCTGTGCGAAAACCAGCGGCATCGTCTTCGAAAATGTGCAGTGTCGACTGTGGCTTGTGGTGTGCGTTGAAAGGCATCGACAATAGTGTTTCATTTTTACGGACGGTGAAACTGGGAATATTGTGCATGGTGTGTGCAGCAGGAATAACGCGATGCGTCATGTTTGCCGAAAACACTGGTACTCGTTGTGGGCCCGCTTTAGTAACCGGTTGTCGATGGAAATTCACGATCTCGCATTGTACTCAAGGTAAAAATACATTTGACGCGATCATATGCGAGTGGGTACATCTCAGCGTATGCGCAGCGTGCAGAAAAATAAAAGTGCATGATCTGCGGGTGATATATACGACTATGCATGAGCTATAAGCATGTTGTAGCGCTGCCGAATCTGCATATATGCTTCACAACGGCTATAACTCGTATTATCGAATACTTGATACGTGTTAAAGTAAACAGCGGAGATATTCATTTCTTATCAACTTTGTACTTTTACGGCTCGATTCTTCGATTCTTATGAAGTGACAATTCGCATTAGAAGTGTGTATCAGACCTAAAGAAGCAATATAGGTACGAAAACACGTTATAAGTGTCTAATGCACCAAGGTAACTGTGCCAGATAATGTTATATATTATTAAGATGTCGGGTTTTGCATCACATGTGTGTTATAGAGAAACACAGTGGCAGAATTACACTTGTGTTTCTTTTTTTTTTCGCTCATCTCTGATCAGACTTTCGGGCAATGAGTGAGAATCTTATCCGTGACGTCATGCACAGCAGCTCTAAACCATGCTGCCGCCAACGCTGTACCTCGTTTAAAACTACATTGCACATGCCACAATGTAAATTGAATAAATTTACATTCATGCCTTGCAAATATTTCTCAAAGTGCCAATAACCGTGTGCATTCAAAACGTTCGCTTTCGAAAAAGATAAGATTTTTTTTATGGCTGCCATCTACGTGGGTGAAGCCCACTGCGTGCTATTCGCGTCTCTCTGTACTCTAGACAAAGTTCCTCCATTCATCTAACTACGACGAGCAAATTTCCACACTATGAGCAGTGACCCTTCCGCGACCCCCTTCTTTCAAAAGCTGTGACTTTAGAACATAGCAATGTAGAAATTTCTGTCGAATGAATGCAGACACGCAGCTCTGCACTGCAGAAAGATGCCGCCGGAGGAACTTTCTTGCCAACCAGCACCTGCTCCGAGAGAGGGTATGAAAGGGTGGGATGCCTGCAGTGACGTCACACTGTTTACAAAGAGGAGGGAGAGGTCTATTAGCAAGTACTTCCCATTCCCATGGGATGACTAAGCGCAACTTGCCAGCCCACATAATATTGAAAGCGAGCTTTGCCCCCGAATGTCTCTTACTGCAGAAAAGCTAGCTTTCAAGGAGGCCGAAACGCGCGCACGGGCACTCTGCGAACCGCCACTGGTTTCCCTGAGTAAATTGCTGCCTGTTCCGTCTAAGATGCTATATGTGAGCCGAATAACACTTGCGAAAGCT